TATTGCTTTGTCATCTCCTGTTGGTGTCCCGGTTCTGCTGCTGTTGGTTCTCTGTTGTCCTTGCCATCTTGTGCTATCTACAGTGTTAGCGCTCTCAGTCATCTGAGTCTAGGAAGTTCTCAGAACAGGGGCCCGGGGTCACTGTGCGCTTTGTTCCTGGCTCTTCTTTCTTTGTGGTGCTGAGGTCCCCCATTTCCACCTCAGAGATGAGCCATAACTGACCAATCCTCTCCGTACACATTATTTGTATGATTCTACCCCAACAAGGGTACCATTCGTTTCTTTCTATTCGTATCCGATCCCCATGGTAGGCAACAAGCACCTTATTTGGAGTCCTGGTATGGCACTGTGGGTTAATGTGCCAGACTGCAAAGCCATTTGAACTGCAAGGTTGGCAGTTCAAGGTCACCAGCTGCTCCTCAGAAACCCTATACAGGGTCGCTATGGTAGGAACTGACTCAATGGCACTTCACAACAACCCATCATCTAAAAGGAGCTCTGGTAGCGTAGTGATTACAAATTGAGCTGCTAACCTCACGGTCAGCAGTTTCAAACTACCAGCCATTCTGTGGGAGAAAGATGAGGCTTTCTGCTCCCGTAAAGATTTACAGCCTCGAAAACCCTGGGCAGGGTTGCTATGAGTTGGAACCGAATCCACAGCACATAACAACAACAACCCATCATCTGGTGGCAGAACATGGTGAGAAAGGCCGCATAAAAGTAACCCATTGTTCCACAAGCTGGGTTACAAGCGCTCTAGGAACCCACCACTCCTTCATTGGTTTGGGGGCAGTTTGTTTTTTATGTACACAAAACCATGCAAGAATATATACTGGTTTAAGGAACCCAAGGGCACATTCTGTAAGCCTGCCTCCTGGCCGCCAGCACTCGGTCTTTCTTTTTCCATGAGTCTAGAGTCCTCAGCTGCTCTCTCTCTCCATGTCCTTATGTCTGCCTCCATCTCTGGTGTTGCTGCTTCTCTGGATAGGGTCCCACATGCCACTTGTGCTCTTCTCCCTTGATGGTCCGAGGGTCCTCTGTTCTTGGAATATAAAGTTAATTACTCCCCACATTTTGTTAAGTATCTTCTACCTTTACAGTTGAGACCATTGCAATTAGTCATAATAACAATTACTGTTGAATCAAAATAATCCTATCCCATCTCCTTTCACCAGACTCATTTAGTCAAGATGAAAACTATTCAGTGGGGATTCTACCTTCCCCCACACACTCTAAAATGGAACTTCCTCTAGAAAACTTGTAAGCCAGTTACTTCATACCTTTATAGCCCCTTTCCCCCAACCCCCCATTTTGGTATGGGCAATTTTTTATATGAAAAGCTCTTTGGCCCCTGGAACGCCAGACAGATCAGCCTTGCTACTATTAAAGAGGTCCTGCACATTCAGGCTGGCAAGGTGGGAGTTGAGGTTGTAGCTGTCTTCCAGCTTAAGTTTGAGCAAGCTGACATCGACCTCAATGACATCCAGATTCTCAGGCTTGGTTCACTCACTCAGATTTTCAGTCTTCCCCAGACCTGTGGAGTCAACTTCAATGTCATCTGGCAGTAGGATGAACTTGCTGAGGTCCTTGTCTTCAGTTCCTGGATATGGCCATATAGGTATTTCTTCTTCTGATACATCGTTTTCACTCTTTTGTGTCTTTCATTCAGTCTGAATATAGCATCAGTTGTGGCTTCTTTCATGAATTTCTCCTTCCAGTTTTCTTTGAAATAGATGGCATTCACCAGTAGTGGCTTATTCATGGAGTTCTGGTGTGATGCTCTGGGCTAATATGCTGGACTGCAGTTTTGGTTTGAACTGCAAGGTGGGTGGTTCAAGCTCACCCGCTGCTCCTCGGAAACCCTATACAGGGTTTGGAACCGACTCGACGGCACTTAACAACAACAGGATTGGTCATGCTGTCAACCACACCTGAAGCCAATGGTTCTGGAATTTTCCATCCTGTCCTATCTTTGACTAACTGGTTTATCTCCTTCTTCACCTTCTCAGACTCATGTTGGAATTCCACAATGACTAGAAATCCAAGCCAGGCCCATACATTTGAAGAGTTGATGATAAGAACTCAGGAAGGAAGCCATAGGTTTTCTCTCCACATAACAATTGCACGACTTTCAGAATGTAGGAAGTGCCACGTTTGTTGATATCAGCATTCAGACTCTGAAATCGCCAATGAAACTTATCGAAATGAAGCGTCTTTCAGAGATGTGCTGGAGTGTTACCTAGGGACCCAGAAACGACCATGGCCATCGCTGAAGGGAGAGAAGAAGAGATTTTCCGCAATATTGTTCTTGCTCACGTCATGGAACAGGTCCTGGGAGATGCTGGTGGCGATCAGCTGCTCCATGATCACTGGCTTGTGTGGCGGGATTCCATGGAATTTCCAGTAACTGATTTTTCAGAAGCATATTTCCAGGTCTTTTTTTCAAGGTGACTTTGGGTAGATTCAAACCTGCGACCTTTTGGTTATCAGTTGAGTACATTCACTATTTGCATTATTCAGGGATTCCAAGGCTACACTAATTAAAACAGCCAGATGACGAACGGCCAGCAAAGCTAGAGGTGGGCTGGAGAAAGAAGGAGTCTGAGATAGAGGTTGATGCACTGCAGCTTTTATTCAAGTGGCAGGGGGCATTTCAAATCAGCAAATGGTGTCTGATCAATTGATCTTTGTTAAGTGCCATTGAGTCAGTTCTGGACCATAGCGACCCTGTATAGGGTTTCTGAGGAGCGACTGGTGAGCTTGAACTGCCGACCTTGCAGTTCAAATGACTTTGTAGACCAGCGCATTAGCCCACAGCACCACAATGAGCCCAGCCCTTTTTCCCAAAATAAATCCTAGATGGATAAAAGGTTCAAAGCAAAAGATGAAATCACAAAAGAATATGAAAGAATTTTTTATGAACAGTGGGAAAAAACTCTGGAAAATAAAGCATTGGACTGCAAAGTTGGTTTGAACCACAAGGTCAGCAGTTCAAACTCACTAGTCACATACTGTGGGTGTGTTGTTGTTAACCTTCATTGAGCCGGTTCTGAGTCGTAGTGACCCTGTATAGGGTTTCCAAGGAGCAACCAGTAAGTTTGAACTGCCCCCTGTGGTTTGAAGTCCAGTGCTGATCCTACAGTGCCACACCAGGATTGGAGGTGGGATCATGCAAAATATAAGGTGCATGGAACCCTGAGGGATTGGTCAGTTTGCCATCCTGTGAGACATGAGACAGCAGTGGCCTTCTGGAGTGAGAAAGCTGTGTGCCTTCAGCCAGGACACTTGCTGGCAGAGGGGGATGTCTATGCACACTTGTTAGGGAGCTAGATTGACAACCCACAGAGGTCCTTCAGGCAGAGTTGTTGCTGAGTGCTGTCGAGTTGATTCTGACCCATTGTGACCCTGTATAGGGTTTCCAAGGAGCAGCTGGTGAGCTTGAACCACTGGCCCTAAAACAACTTTGTAACACTTGCCTAAGCAGGTCAGTGGCTAAGGGCCAGAGAGAGGTCTGCCTACAGGCACAGCTGATAGGCAGCAGCCTGAACTGTCTCCTGAGTTGTTTCTGATCCCAAATTGCACTGGCATGGCACAGCAACACAAGGTCGGAGGTTCAAACCCACACGCTGCTCAGAAACCCTACCCAAGGTTGCTGAGTCAGAACCAACTCGGCAGCAGTTAACACTTCCCTAACTGAACCCAGAAGTGGCACTGTAGGATAAGCACTGGACTGCTAGCCACAAGTCAACAGTTCAAACCCATCAGCTGCTCTCAGAGACCCTGAGTCAGAATCAACTCAACAGCACTTAACAATATCCCGAATAAGTCCCTCATTGTATGTCTGTGAGTTAGGTGTGACCACTGCAATGCATTTATTAAACCCAGTAGAGAGGTAGGGTGTCATGGGAGGGGCAGGTGGTGTTCGAACAGGTACAAAGGTTGGAGGGTAGAAGCATGTCTGACTGCTGCCTCATGGTAACTGACCTGAGGCTGATCTTGATCCTCCTCCCACCTTGTGAAGTCAAAGGGGATCAGATGCTGACACCCTCCTCCTCATTTTTACATATTTGGTGTTTTCTTTCATCAGGTCCCTAAAAACAGTACAAATGTTTTCTGCTTGGTGCTAACCTGAAGGTTGGCAGTTTGAACCCAACCAGTGGTACTGGGGAAGAAAAGCCGGGCCATCTGCTTCTGAGATCACAGCCAAGAAAAGCCTCTGGAGCAACTGTCAGTCTGAGTCTGTGACACCCGGGTCACCGAGAGTAAAGAATCAACTCGATGCAATTAACAAGAAATATAATCCAGATGGTGTCAGCTCCAGAGCTTCAACGTAATCACAGCAACAAAAACTCTTTTTCCAGAGGTGCCAGGCACAGGTCTGAAGTGAGGAGGTGACACATCTTTCTGGTGGTCCCACTAAGCCCACTACGAAAAGTCTCTGGGTTCAGGAGGGGTTGACCAGCTCCCTTTTAAAACCTTTCTATGTAGTTTGATATTTTTTCTTCCTCAAGCATGGAGTCTGCCTAAAGACAGAGAGTAACGTTTTGTTTTATGGCTTTGGACACAAGAGAGATAAGGGATCAAACTTCACCTCAGCCACCAGCTGACTTGTGTGACCTAGGTCAAGAGACTGGGAAGGTGACAGCCAGTCAGCCTCAGAGCTTCCTGGAGGCGCTCTCCCCTGCCCAGTGGATTATTGTTGTTGTTAAGCACTGACTCATAGCAATCCTGTATAGGGTTTCTGAGGAGCGGCTGGTAGGTTTGAACCACTGACCATGCAGTCCAGTGCTTTATCCTACTCCAACGGATATTAGCTCTGAAAGATACTGCCCTCACAGCCTCAATTTTCCCCTTCTGTGAAATGGACGTGGGCCCACATTGTGAAGGAACGGAGGCCATGGTGAAGTAAACACACGGTTTATTTGTGACAGGTGAGTTCTCAGGCAGTGGCAGAGCAGGGAATGTGGGAGTGTGGGGGCAGGGCTGAGGGAGGGCATGGACTAGAACTCCACCTTGCAGGCAGGGAAGGTCTCGTCCTGCATGGCCACTGTGCTGTTGCTGCCCAGCACTGTGAGGCCCATCGCCTGCTGGCTTGCATGTGTCTCCTGGTACCACTCATGCATGGTCGCCGACTCAAAAGTGGGGATCAGGGTCACCTGCAGGGGACACATGACAATGGTGAGGGGGACCACCTGCCCCCTGCCCAGAGGCCACATGACATCTGATGCCCTTCAGGTCTCTTCTCTGACCTTAGAGCTCATCATTTGGCCCCTTCTCACCCACAGTGGTCTTCTCCCTGTCCCCAGAGTCCCTAGCCTCCCCCAGAGCACCACACATGCCTATGCCCTGCTCCTGGAGTAAAAAAGGAGCAGCATCTGAGCAAGGTTCTGGAAACCCCATTCAACACTGTGTCCGGTCAGCGTACCTTGGTCCCAGCCTCGGTCTCCCTGTATCCCCTGAGGATGACCACAGCCCCCCAATCCTGTGGTGAACCCTCCACTTCCCTAGCCCTGCAGACACTCCACACCTCACTGTCCCCCAGCTCTCAATGTGGAGGCACCAGCCCCCTTCCATCCCAGGGTGGGATGAGAACCTATGTCTGCCCTTGGGGCCTGACCACTGAGCCCCTTTCCTGCCTGTGGGGTAGGTAAGGGCTCCAGAGACTACAGATAGCAGTTATTGTCACTGGTTGTTCCCAGGGGCACTGCTATGGGGAGATGGTCCTGGGCCTGTGACTGTCACCTGATGTGGAAATAGGGTTTTTCTTTGGTTATCAACAAGGACTCTCACTGGAGTAGGGGTCCTAACCCTAACCTGTCCCAAGTGGTATCTAGATGCACACACAGGAGCTTAGAGGTCATGAGCACCCCGCTGTAAGCCCAGAATCCCTCAGAGAGCCCAGAAACTAAAGGACTCTGGAGGACCCTTCCCAGAACCTTCAGAAAGAGCACAGCCTGGCGAACCTCGGTCTGGAAATTCCGAGCCAGAACCAGGAGAGTAAATGTCTCTTCTCTAAGACACTCCATTTTGCCCACCCCAGGAGACTAAGAGGGGTCCCCGGATCCCATGCTGGGGGAGGCCGCGCCCCTCACCTGCAGCTCACGGCCCCACTGCTGCTTGCCGGCCAGCAGCGCGTCCAGCAGGGCCCGCATGCCTTCCTCCTTGCCCTGATCCTGGCCACTGATGACATAGCACAGGGCACGCACCCGCCGGAAGAACTCGGCGTCCACCAGCCGGGCACTGCTCCCACTGGGCAGGTAGGCCAGATCTAGGTAGATGGGATTGCCAGGTGAGGGTGCCAACCCACCAGTACGGCTGCCAGCTGTGCCTGCAAGGAAAGAGACAGGGGAGAGGACCTGGCTGAGAAAAGGGGCAGGACGAGGATGGAGGGATGGGGACAAGACAGGCTCCCAGGCAGACTTCTTCCAGAGTAGTCCTTCCCTTTTGCCCTTCCTGGAAACCACCTTAGTGCCCTCATCTCACCTCACTCGGCAAACACCCTCAGCTGCCCCTTTGTGCCCGGACCCTGGGCTGCGCTATGATATATCCCCAAGGGCAGAGGGTGACACCATCAAGGAGGACTGCCTGAAGGAGGACGTCTGCGAGATGGAGCCCCAGATGCTGCAGGCCGGGAACACTGCCGCTTCCAGTCAATCACCCACTCGGTTGAGAGGCACTTATCAAATGTGACTGTGCATCATGGCCCGGGCTCAGTGACCTCAGATCACCCCCAGATCCAGCAGTGGGAGGGACCTAGGCTTGGGTGGGCTGCATGTTGACAGGTGGTTGCCCCCTGAGTCTGCCAAAGCCACCGGCAGCTGGGCCAGGCCCTCAGCTCAGTGTCTCTTTGAGGTAAACAACCGCCAGGTCCCACCAAGGCGAGAGAATCAATCATCACTGGTTGGCATGACGCAGCTGGCTTTAGGACACAAGCCGCCCAGCTCAGTTGTGGACATAGGGGCAGATGTGGGCATTTAGAGAACAAATGAACCCCCCAGCCCTGCTGTCTCTCAACCTGGGGAAGTGACAAGGGCTGAAGGGAGCCACAGGACGTCATCATGAGGCAGGCAGAGCAGCTGTCTGCTGGCAGCAGCAGCTGACTGGCGAGGAGTGGGGAAGAGGCAGGAGTCGCAGGACCAGAGGACAATGTGGACCAACAGCCAGGAAACAGTGGCCTATGGCCAAACCCACCCTGACCTCTTTGTGATCCAAGGTGGTGGGAACAAGTCAGCCCAAGCAGCCAGGACCATGAACTGGATACCTCTTCACTATGCCTGGGAGGCTGCCCTCTCCACAAATTGTACTGGAAACCCCCAACCCCCAAGGCCCTGGGAGCCCAAGGCTGCCTCCTCAGAAGCTGCCTGAGAACACGAGGCGGCAGCTCAGGTGGAGACCAGGCCACTCGGTCCTGTTTTCAGGGTCACCCTCTGGGCACCAGGAGGAGGACCTGGCCAGAGCTAATGTTTAGTAATTGCAGATCATGTTACTGTTACTACTGCCGTTGCTGTTACTGCTCTGGCTAGCTCTCCGTGTGGAGCTGAGACAGGGTGGGCAAGCGGGCACTGTGGGTGCAACACTCAGGAGGCTCTGAGGCTTGGCCGGAAAACGCCGTGTAACATATCTAAAGATTTTCTGTGCTAGCTGCATGGGGAAGTGATGTTATCTAGGGGATAGTGGGGAGCAGAAAGGACTCCCTGGGTGGTGCACAGAGTTAACAAGCTCAGCTGCTAACCGAATGGATGGAGGCTCATGTCCAGTCAGAGACACCTTAGAAGAAAGGCCTGCTGACCTACTTCCAAAAATATTAGCCACCAAAAACCGAATGGAACACAGTTCTAGACATGTCGGGTCACCACGAGTAGGAGTCAACTGGGCATCAATGGTTTCTGGTGAGAAGGGAGATTAATTACACAGCGGGCCTGAGACTGCTGCCTTGAGAAGGCAGCTGGGCCGGGTGGTCCATGTCCTGCAGCTGGGGAAGTGGATCCTAGGAAGGTTCCCACCATTCCATGAGCCGGTAAGACTGAATCCCTGGGCTTAGAGTGCGTGCACGAGTGCGGCTTATACTTGAATATCTATCTGTTCCTTCTAAGGGTCTAGGATTCTGGGAAGGACCAGGCAGAGTTGAGCAGTCCCTAGGAACCATCATCCTTGGTAGACAACAATTCATGAGTTATCCCAGGGACCACAGAAGAAAGGTCTAGTGATCTGCTTCCATGAAGATGACAGCCAAGAAAACGGAAGGAGCACAGGGCCCACAGTTCTACTGGCACACACAGGGTCCATGCAAGGCACAAGCAATGTGACGGCAGCACGTTTGGGTGGCACTTTGGGAAGAGGACACCAGAAGTTTGGGACTGCTTCCCCCAGATTCCACCCCATGTGCAGCTGTCCTGTTCTAATTGCAATGTGTCCTCTCCCAGTGAAAAAGCAGCAGATGCTCAGTCCTCCCAGCAAACGACCAGACCTGAGGGAAGGGTCGGGGACCCCAGCACAAACCACCTAAGATAGACACAGTGGACCTTCCTTATTCATAATACCATAAATGCAAGTCTACTCACCCGCTTGCTAAAACTGACTTGTAACCTCAAAACCAATATGTTTGTGGCTGCTCATAGACATGCACGTTCCCAGCTGCAGTCCAGCAAGGCTGGTCTGTACTTGCAAATCCAGCATTCCTGGTGACTTTCTAGAACACTCTCACTAGCTGCCATCAATTGGCCCCAACTCTTGGTGACGGGCAGCGACCCCAAGCACAAGAAAACGAAAACCTGCTTGGTCCTGTGCCAACTCCACAATCACCTGATTTTTGGAAGGAGATGGACAGGTCTTTCTTCCTAGTTCATCTTAGTTTGGAAGCTCTGCAGAATAAGCCTCCACAGAAAGACGAGGGGGTGGCTACAGGTAAATATGCTGGCTGGAACCGAACCTGGGTCCTACCCACAAAAGGCAAGGATTCCACTATTGAACAGCACTGCCTCAACTTCTGGAAGACACGACTGTGAATAACAAGAACCAACTATATGTTGTGAAAATTTGTTTTTCTAGCTTACTTCCTAACAGCGTTCATTAGAGACATGCTGCACATTACACTTGGACACAGGGAGGGCAGGTAGGCACTTAAATGCTGAGGTCAGCGCTGCCACTTTAGTGGGGAATGAGGTCAGGAGGACATGACTCGCACCCCCTCCCACTACAGACATCTAGCCCCCTTTAGTGCTCACCTGGTGGGCCTCGAGCAGCAGTGGCTGTCTTCGGCACGGAGGCCTTTCTGGTCAGGGGCATCCGGGCTGTCTTGTCACTGGGTTCACTCCGAGTGCTGAGTGACCGGCTGGCCCTATCCCCACTGGCCAGACCCTTCGTTTTGGCAGTGCCAACCGCTGCAGCTTTGGGGCCTGTAGTCCCAGGGCCAGTGCGGGACAGGGGCTTCCGAGCACGGCCAAGGCTCTCCAGCCGCCGTGCTTGCTCGGGGTCCACCATGCAGACACCGGGAGGGGCAGGCAGTGGGTGGGGGTCCTTGAGTGGGGCAGACAGTGGGTCACGGCGGCGAGGAGGTACGCCTAGGCTCTCAGTGTCTTCATCATCTGAGTCCGCAGGGCCAGCACTGGCAGGCAGGGGCTCTGAGTCAGACAAAGTGGGCAGGGACTCACTGAGGGAGGTAGGTGGTGTCTCCTCAGGCCCTGGGCCATCGGGGCCCCGCTCCTGGGACCGGGCACTGCTGTCATTGGAGCAGCCACCAGGGGAGGGTGCAGTAGCAGGAGGAATGACCTTGCGGTGCTCAAACTCGCAGGGCGACACCAAACACAGGTCCACGTCATGTGGGGAGGCTGAGCGCCGGGCCCGGGGACCTCGCAGGGGGAGGCTCAGCCCAGGCTCACCAGTGGCAGGGGGCGGTGGCAGCGCCTGCTCGAAGGACACAGACAGGGACTCATCCACCTCAGTGGAGTGTGGGGAGCCCACCTCTGCAGGCAGTGAGGGCGTGGTTACGGTGGGCGAGGCATCGGGCACCGCTTCTCCGGACCGCAGTGGGCTCAGTGACAGCCGCCCACCACTCTCAGCGGGCACTCCACGTCTGGGGCCGGCAGGAGAGGGTGTGCGCAGTTGCGGCGTGCTGGCTGTGGACAGCAGCTCCAATGTCTGCTCTTCCGAGCTGCAGCCCTCATCGCCAGCGGCCAGCTCTAGGCTGCGCTCCAGGCTGGGTGTAGCTGCCAGTGGGGGCCCCGGGGACATGCACGCTACCACTGGGGGGCTGGCCTCACCACAGCGGAAGCTCGAGGGACTGCGGGACCCGTTCTCCACAGCTGGACATGGTATCTCAGGTGCTTTCCGGGCCTTGGCTGACCCTGGGACCATGGTCTTCTTGACATCAGAGGTGGCAGAGACTCCACGGCGCACCTCTCGGGGCTGGGTTCTCAGGGTGCTAGGTCTGGGGTCCTTCTTGGCCTCTCGAAGGGGTGGCTTGGCATCCTTCTCAGCACGTGGGGTCTCTTTGCGGGCTGTCCCAGGGCGCTCCCGGCCCCGCACACTGTCCCGGGAGCCCACGCTCTCTCTGCTCTCAGCACGCTTCGGCCCCTCCAGGTCCTGAGGTGTCACGATGGGCTCTCGCAGGAAGCCCAAGTGCTGCAGACGGGCCAGGCCCTCGAGCAGGCGTGCGGGAGGGGTGCAGCCTGGGAAGAGCACCCGCACCACCTTCTCCGTGGGACCAGCAGGCTGCCACACCAGTAAGATGCAGGCCGAGGCCAGCGTGCAGTCGGCACTGCGCCCGGCAGCCTCAGAGGCGGGGTGCAGCACATACATGTCCAGTCGGCCCACACCCATCTTCTGGAAAAGCACAGTGGGCTCAGTGGGCAGTGGCCCTCGGCTCAGAGGAAGCGGTGGGATGCCCAGGCGAGCCAGCAGGCCCAGTGCCAGCCGCACTTCATCCACGCTGCGCACCAGCTGTGCCTCATGGACCACGGAGTTCCCAGCCACACCTGTGTTCAGGAACACGACACCCAGCTCAGGTGAGATGAGGTTGCGCAGCCCCTCATCGCCTCCACCACTGGCCGCCGCTGCCTCGCGCTCAGCCAGCTTTCGCCGCAGCAGGCTGTTGAGGCCCGGCAGGCTGTCCACGCCAGCATGGGTCACCAGCACTGCATCCACACGGTCCAGATGCCGCACCAGCTTCCAGAAGCTCGATTTGGGACTTGAGCCACCATTGACCAGAATGGTGAAGCCATTGACAGCAAAGAAGGCAGCGTCGCCCAGGCCACCAGGAAAGACGTAGCAGCAGGGCCGGGCAATCTTGAGGAAACCCACGGCAGCTGGCGGCTCCAGTAGCTCGAAGGGTGAGGGCAGCTCCAGCGACTCAGCCACATACTCCAGGAACTCACGAAGGCCCTCGGAGGCCGGCAGCTGTGCTGGTGGGTTCAGCCGCAGCTTGAGCGCACCTAGCAGGCCTGGCAGGTTGGGTGCCAGCTGAGCCCAGTTGCCAAAGGTTGGGCAGGTGATGGTGAGTGTGGGCAGGGTGGATGGTGGGGGTGCCGAGGCCAGGAGCTCCGCGATCTGAGGGGATACCTGGAGTCAGGGGACCACCAGCTGGCTCCCTACCTGCTCCCCACTCCTTGGAACCCAATTCAGTCCCCCACCCCAATTTCACCTTCCCCTCTTGCCTTTCTCCCCATTCTTCCTCAGATGCCTTCCTGGTCCAGGGCCACAGCTCCCTTCACGGTGCCCTTCCAGATACTCACCCACCCAGACATCCCCATCCTTACAGCCCCCACAGTGACTGGTCTACCACAGTCCCATTTTCCTCCAACTAGACTGAGCAGCCTGTCTGGCTCCTCACTGTTGTTGTCAAGTGCCGTTGAGTCGATTCTGACCCCTAGCAACCCTGTATATGATTTCCAAGGAGCAGCTGGTGAGCTTGAACCGCCGACCTTGCAGTTCAAACGACTTTGCAGTCTGACGCATTAACCCACAGCGCCACACCAGGACTCCTCACTGTTAGGCTTCTGGAAAGTTGACCAAACTATAACCCGGTTCCTTTGAGTAGATAAAGGGACTGACACCTGACAACCAGGGGTGCCCCCAATCCCTGTCCCACCCAGACAGGAGGAATCAGGATTCAGAGCTAGGAGTGGTTGGGGAGGATGGCAATGGAGGCAGGAAGTGGGGAGGGGGCATCTTACCTCCCTGTCCGCTAGAACTTGGAGGAAGTGGCGGGACGAGAAGCCCCCCGTCTGCAGCAGCAGCTCCCCGGTCTCCTCCAGGCAGGGTCCAGCTAGTACCACCAGCTTGTGAGGGGCAGGATCCAGCAGAAAATTCCGGAGCTGGGGGGCGGAGAAGAGTTAGGGGTCCTACTTCCTGTGTAGGGAACTCTCCAGCCCCAAATCAACATATAATCCCCTTTCCTGTCCCCACCACACAGCACAGCCAGGTCACAGCTTGACCAGGAGCTGGGATGGCAGCCTCCCGCTGGGCCCTGCCTCCCTGGAAACACATACTCATCCTACCAAGCCCAGCTCTAATGGCTCTCCTGGGCTCCCTCAACCCACCAGACACCATGGGGCTGGAGTGACTGGGTCTGACTCGTCTCACCCACACTGAGAGCTCCTCAGGGAACACAGGGAGCATACTGACCAAAGGAGTCTGCAAGAGGTTCTCTATTGGTGTCCTGAGGCTCTGTTCGGCTCCTCTCTCGGACGGATAATGAATGGGAAGAGGGATCCTGACTTCCTCAAGCCAGGAGCATTAACTAGTCAGCAGTTCAGGCGCTGGCTGGGACCCCTGGAAGGCAGCTGTGCCCCTTCAGACCTCCACACCTGCTGGGTCTGTGCTGGAAGTGCTCCCCAACTCCTTCGCCACCACCCCACCCATCGTCATCCTGGGGGTGGGGTGGGGTGCTGTCACTGGGAGTCGTCAAGAAGTGGGTTTTAGGCAGTGGGTCCCAGCAACCTACGCCCCTGTACCTCATCACACAGCGACTTGTCCGACGGGTTGAGAAGGACGAGTGTGTCCAGGGCGTCCCCACGGTGGTGCAGGCTCCGCTGGCCTGTGAGTGCCGGGGCGTGAGCCAGGGCTGATGCCACCGCCCCACGTGAACCCCACCAATCCAGGTCAGGATAAGGAGGGATGGAGGTGTCCCTGAGCTATCCTGCCCCCTCTCACACATGCTGCTCCATGACTGCTTTCTGCTATCACCCCCACCACCATCACTCCATTTACAGACTAGGATGTCGAGCCCAGGGGGCCCGCAAAGAAGGAACCCAACCCTCACCCCACCTTACAGATTGGGATGCCAAGCCTGGAGAGGACTCGCAAGGAAGGGACCCCTACCACCATCACCCCATCTTACAGACAGGGACACGGAGCCCAGAGAGGCCTGTGAGAAAGGGACCTCTTACCACCCTCACCCCATCTTACCGACAGGGACACTGAGCCTGGGGAGGGCCCACAAGGAAGTGCCTGTGAAGGTGAGCTAGGCACAGAGGCCAGGGGTGCAGTAGGGTGGGGTGGACCACATGGACAGCAGGGCCAATTCTGAGACTCGAACCCCGGCTAGTTCCCCGAGAACAGGGGCCCAATCACTGTGCACCAAACCCTGGGGCTCCGGAGGCCAAGCTCCATAGAAGCTGGCCTCTGACTACTGACCTAAGCACTGGACTGCCAGGTCACTTTGAACTGCCAGGTGAGTGGTTCAAACTCACCAGCCGCTCCTCAGAATCCCTGTGCGGGGCTGCTGAGTCGGAACCCATTCTATAGCACTAACAATAACAACCAAGCACACGCGTCCTGGTGTGACACTATAGGATAAGCTGTTGTTGTGAAGTGCTGTCGAGTTGGTTCCGACCCATAGCGACCCTGTATAGGGTTCCCGAAGAGTAGCTGGTGAGCTTGAACTACTGACAAATCATAAGGTCGCTACGAGTAGAAACTGACTTGATGGCACTTAATCACTACCATCACGAAGCACAAATCCCCCCTTTTCAGAGGTGGGGGAAACCGAGTCACAGAAAGTCACATATGGCCAAAAAGCTCATACAGAGCAAAATGGGATTTCCAGGCTCCTCACCCCAGACACACGGGGTCAGGAAGCCACCAGGACCTGCTGGGACAATGAGGCAGCAGGCACTTCCTTCCCCTTCTGCGGCGCCCGGGGGTGACTCAATAGCTGGTCTCTAGGACAGGGGGCTGGGGTGACTCATGGTATGCCCTGCTCACCCCAGCTTATCCCCAGATCCTCAGGGACGACACTCCTCCCCTCTTTCATCTCACTGCTTCCTGGTTCCTCTACTATGCACAAGGCGGGGTGGAAGGCCCACATGGGTGTTCCCCCACTTAGCAGCTTCTCACTTCCCTGGAGGGCTCCTGGCTCGGCCCCACATCCGGGTTTCCCGATCTGGAAAATGAGGGAAACCTCCTGCCTGGAGGTTGCTGAGAATAGGTGAGTGTACACTCGGGCACAAGGGCTGGGTGGTTCACCTTTCACGATGCTGGAGAAGGTGGCTGAGTGTCGAGACACGAAGACTTTGAGCTGTTCATCAAGGTTGCAGATACTGGGGTACACATCCCAGGACCGGATGCCTAGAGGGCAGCAGGAGGAAGGTTTGTGGGCTAGCTCAGTAACTAGCACCCAGGTTGTGGCCTTGGAGTCAGTGTGCGCTCCTGGCAAGCCCTTGGGTCAGGGCAGAACTGCATTCCATAGGGCTTTCAGGGCTGTGGTTACCAGAAATAGACCACTAGGCCTTTCTTCCAAGGGGCCTCTAACCAAACTAAATTTAAACACTGACGTCAACGCGATTTCAACTCACTGCGACTCTGCAGAGGATTTTCAAGGCTATAAATCTTTATGGGAGCAGACAATTTCATCTTTCTGGTGGGTGTTAACCACTGACCTTGCCGCAGGTTCAAACCACCAACCTCTCAGTACCTATGCACTTCACCGTTCGCAGAAAGCAACTGGATGGTGCATATGGTTAAGCACTGGACTACTAGCCAAAAGACGGCCATTCAAACTCACTACGATGCACCTCAGAAGAAAGGCCTGCTTCTGAAAGGTCACAACCCTGAAAACCTCATGAAACCCTACCCCTTGAACTGCCCTCACGACCTGTTGGGAGGCTGGGTCTCAGGACTGGGGTGCACCTCAGCAATTCACAGACAACACTCGAAACCCCCCATCCTACTACCAATGTCTTCTTTTACCTCTCCATCCTCCCTCCCCTGGGGTCCGACTCCTCCAGTGCAGGGCTCTTCCCAGCTCTGGGCCTTAGCACCAGCTGTCCCCACTGCCCTCCCTCTGCCCTTCTGGGCTCATCTTTCAACGGCTTTCCTCCTGAGAAGCCCCTGCCTCGCTGTTCTTAAAGCCTTTTTTTGTCCTTCTCCACACTCCTAACAAGTTGCACTGCTGGTTTTTGCCTCAGTTCTGAATTATACTGTGAGCTAGGGTAAGGTACAAGGACCAAGGTGTGCCCTGCCACCCCACTTTATAGGCAGTTAGATGAGGAGGTTTCCAAGGGACAGGGGAGAAAGGCCCTCTGGAATCAGTATGTGATGCTCCCAGTCCCACTGTGCCAGGAGAATGCAGGTGAACCTTACAGGTACACCTATGACTCACCTCCCCAGGGTAGGACAACTGCCCACGCCCCAATTAGCACTGAGTGGAGCAACGGAAAGTGAGCCCTAGAGGCCCAGGCTGGGCTCCCATCCCAGTCTCCCCAAGGTGCCCTTCCTGCCCCCTGCCTCAAGGATGTCCCCCCCAAATCCAGGTAAGGACATCCTAGGCTCCCTAGGTTTTTTCCCATCTCCCCAAACCTCCCCACCCACAGCGTGTCCCACACTGCCTTGCCCTGCCCTGCCCTGCCCCGCCCCTGCTGTCAGTCTTAGGAGGGCGGGGCAGCTCCGATCCCCAGAGGGTCCTTGGTCGGAGATCTAGGGCAGGGATCTTTGGCCCAGAGAACCGGGCTTAGCGTGTGTGCATGCAGGGACCCTAAGATGGGGTAACGTGAGGTCGCAGACTCCGTTTATAACGGATTCCGGGGTCCCAGGAAGGGCGAGTCCCGGGTAGTGGCTGCCACGCGAGAGGTTTTAGGGTATCCCGGAACCCAGGGCTCATCGGGGCCGCCACAATCCGGGATGTGACCCATGGGTTCAGGGCGGCCCCGCCCCTCCGTTCCCTTCCTTCACTGGGGGCCTTGCAGGCGGGAAAGAAGGCCGTTGCCCACATTGCCCAATCGTTTGGCTTGCGCAGCCAGGCCATGTCCCCGCCCGTGTCCCCTTCCCAGGCCGTGCCGAGGCCCCGCTTCCTCCGCGGTGCCCAGCCTCCCGCCTTGGCCAAATAGGAAAGGCACCAGCGCCCCAAAATCACCGCGCCCGCCCAAAGACCCCCAGCAGCCCCAGGGACACATTCTCCCCGGCCCCGCCCGCGTTCGCCCCCGAGATCCCCAGGTCCCCCGGCGTCCGACCTCGCTCCAGCTCCTCCAACACGAAGGCCAGCAGGCCCGGGCGCCCGCACTCGCCGCCCACCACGAGCAGCAGCGCGCACGGAGCCTCGGCCGTCCCCAAGTCCGCCGCCGCCGCCATCTTCGCATAGCCCGCTGCCCGGAGCACCGCCTGCCTCGCCTGCGGCGCCGCGCTGACGTCACCCGTGGCGAATCCGGGCGCGGCGCGCCAGGCGCTGGCCCCGCCCCTAAGGGGGGAGGGCCAGAAGGGCTGAAGACCCCTCCCGGAAGCCCCCCTTCACTGCTTTCATACCCTCAGGTCTTTTGAGTTCATGATAATCTGGGGATGGAAGTGTCAAGGAAATTGGTTGACTCCTGGGTCTTTTCAGTTGGAGATCCTCAATTGACCATTCGTTCATTCATTCATTCAACAAACATTGACCTCGCGCCTACCACGGACCAGACAATGTCCCTGGATTCAGGTAACTCAACATCATGACTCAATGCTCTGGGCCAAAAATCCCTGCCCTAGATCTCCGACCAAGGACCCCCTGGGGATGGGAGCTGCCCCGCCCTCCTAAGACTGATAGTTCCCTGAATGAGGGTTTGGCCAGAAAAAGTAAACTCACCTTAGCAGGGCTTTGAGGGATTCATAGGAGTTTGCCGGGTGTGGGCAGTGAGGCATACTAGGCAGAAGTTACAATCATGTCTCCTCCTTTGGCTGCACCACGAAGTATTAGAGATAGGAAAGTACTTGTGCATTTGGGGCACATTCAGAGCATTCTGCAGCAGATATTATTCTGTACCTACTGTGTGTCAGGCATTTTATTCCGTTGTTGTTGTTAAGTGCTGTTGAGTAGGTTCTGACCCATAGCCACCCTGTATAGGGTTTCCAAGGAGCATCTGGTGAGCTTGAACTGCTTACCTTGACGTTCAAACTGACATTGCAGTCTAGCGCATTAGCCTGAAGCGCCACACCAGGAAATTTGTACACAAATCTATGAAATAGATCCTGTTATTCTGACCATTTTCAAGGAGAGGAAACAGGCTTGGAGGGATAAAGTCATCAAGTCTGTAAGTGATAGAGCCAAGATTTGAATTCAGGTTGTCTGAATCCAGACGCAGTCTTTAGTAAGGTACTGATGCACATAAGAATCCTTCCCTTCCCCAAACAGTTTCATCCAACCCTTTTACCCATGTCAAAGACTCAGAAAATCATCTCATACCAAACTTTTGGACAGCCATTCATTCCCAGGAAGGGTTGAGCTGTCTCTCTTGTGAATGAGCTCCCTATCTCCGAAGGTATCCAGAGAAAATCAAGGCAGAGATAGGATATGTCTAGGAAGAGCGATCAGCCTCCAGCTGCTTTGCTTATCTGGCTTGTTCAGCCCTACTTCCTCCCTGGCCAGTAGTTAAAAGCCTCTGGCCACATGGGCCCACCCAACATTTTCGTAGTCCACTTCCTCTCTCTCTCTCTGGACCTACATCCTTCCAGTATCCCTGTCCCTCCTCTTTGGCTCCCTCCCCTGTTTCCAGGCAGCTCTGTTATGGCTCTGAGCAATAAAAAGACTCTGAGTGGAAGCTAGTTGGGGGCCAGACCACCAGATTGAGCCTTCTCTAGGGTTCTAGTTTTGTGCAGGACAAAGATGACCACTCAGGAAGGGTACAATGAGGGCATATAGAATAAGGGTCAAAAGCCCATTCATCCAGAATACCAGGCAAAGCAGGTTCAGAGGATGGTCTCAGAACCCTGAACTACATATAAAGGAATATTTAGAAAGATCAAAGGCTTACTGCTGGTTGGATTTGTAGCAGAAGCAAAAAAGGTGGTGCTTTCTGATCTGCGGCTGCTGGCAGGTACTAGAGTGGCCATCTTGAGCAGGACTGAGCAAGTAAAGGATCAAGAGAGCACCATCATCACAGGGGCCTGGCCGATCCTCAGAGATAAAGGTGTGAACTTTTTTTTTTTTTTGCTTCATTTATCTCTCTCTGTCTGTACACCAACACTTCGGTGACTAGAGGGAGTTGTTCCTGAGCGAGTGGACACCCCCTCATCCCCTAAGGGTTCTACTACTACGCACGACCATAGATCTGCTCAACAAAGATCACTGGGCTGAGAATTGAAGAAGAGGGAGGAATCAACAGGAACTGCTTAAAACAAGAGGGTCTTCAGAAACGGCTCTGGCCAGCCTTGGGCTGTTTCTCACTAGGAGAAATACCTGAGTGGACTTCAGGAAAGGTGAGAGAGACAGCCAAAAAAAGGACAGAGGCCAAAAATGAAATCTTGAGTTATGTCATTAGGAGCAACTGGTAGCATCTTGACATTTCTCAGATGGGCTTGAAGATAAGAAGCCGAAAAAAGGATGTTAAAGTCTTACTCATATTTTGCTATAGGTTTTTTTTTTTGTGTGTGTGGCAATTATAGACTTTAGTGTTCAATCTGGTTTTTTATTCGTTTGCTTTTGGTCCCCCTTTTACCTTGGCAGGAGGCTCTTTTTCTCCCTATGTTTCCCAAGGAGAGACAGCAATTATGGTTACATAGTCAAGCTACAATCTCACCCTATAAAATCCCACCATCTGGGCAAGAGCCAATACCAGCTGCTATACACCAGATAGAGAGTCAACACTTGCTAAAATTACTCTGAGTTGATACTAAGAAAAGTGAAAAAGGAAGCCTATTTCCTGATCATATCTACCAGGAGGCAATAAAAAAAGCTTAATAATACACCAACATACATTCATCTAATTATTGAAAATACACCTAATTATTGAATATGCCCAAAAGGCAAAAAAAGATCTCAGCTCATGTCCAGAAACAAGATAGAGTAGCTGAAACAAATGATCTGGAGGTAGTTCTAGATTTCCCATTGGAAGGAGGGCAGGCTTTGGAACTGCCTGATGAAGAATTCAGGAGAATGATATTGAGGTACATTCAAATGCTTTACAGAGGGGTTGAGAAAAATAAGGAAGAAGTCAGAAAAGTGCTACAGGAACAATCAAATAAGATAGAAATAGCACTGAGAACAATTCAAAACCTGCAAAAAGAGGTCCAAATGATTAATAATAAAATATCAGAAATGGAAAATACACTGAAAGAATAAAGGAGTAGAATTTAAGAGATGGAAGCCAGAAGCAGCGAGCTTGAAGAAAAATATCACAATACTGCTAAGATAGAAAAGTAATCAGAAAAAAGAATGAAAAACTCTGAAGAAAGTCTAAAATTCATGTGGGACAACATGAAGAGGAATAATCTACAGGTGACTGGAGTTCCAGAACAGGAAGAATCACAGAAAACCAAAGAGGAGATAGTCGAACACCTGCTGGAAGAAATTTCCCTAACATCTTGAAAGACTAGAAGATAAGCATTCAATAAGCTAACAAACGCCAGGAAGGATAGACCTCAAAAGAAAATCACCACGACATATCATAATCAAACTATCCAAAATTAAAGACAGGGAGAGAATTCTGAAAGCAGTTAGGGAAAACAGAAGTGTTACTTACAAAGATTAAGCTCTGATCTCTCAGCAGAAACCATACAGGCAAGAAAGCAATGGGGAGGCCCCCGAGTTGGTGCACATGTTGGAGAGGAACTTGTCCCATCTCGAGGCCATCCATGGGGTCGTGGGCCACGCCCACTTTTCCCCCCTCAAGGCCAATTCTCCCCCTGTGATTGTCAACACAGACAACCTAGAAGTCCCTGGATATGAGTTGCAGGTAAACGGGACCGAGGGGGAGATGGAATACAAGATCACATTGGAAAGGGGTAACTCAGGTCTGGAATTCAGCATCACAGGTGGCACTGACAACCCCCACATCGGTGATGACCCATTCATTTTTATTTCCAAGATCATTCCTGGAGGGACTGTAGCCCAGGATGGCTGCCTTAGGGTCAATGACAGCATCCTGTTTGTAAAGGAAGTAGATGTGTGGGAGGTGACCCATTCAGCACCAGTGGTGACCCTCAAAGAGGCAGGTTCCATCATTCGCCTTTATGTCATGCGCTTGAAGCCCCTGGCTGAGAAGATCATGGAGATCAAGCTCATCAAGGGGCCTAACGGTCTTGGTTTCAGCATTGCAGGAGGTGTAGGGAACCAGCACATCCCCGGAGATAATAGCATCTATTTAACGAAGATCATCGAAGGGGGCACTGCCCACAAGGATGGGGGGTTGTAGATTGGGGACACGATCCTGGTGGTTAACAGTGTGGAGCTGGAGGATGTCATGCATGAGGATCCGTGGCAGCCCTGAAAAATACATATGATGTTGTCTACCTAAAAGTGGCCAAGCCCAGCAATGCCAACCTGAGTGACAGCTATGCTCCCCCAGACATCACAACCTCGTATTCCCAGCACCTAGACAATGAGATCAGTCACAGCAGCTACCTGGGCACCGACTACCCCACAGCCATGACCCCCACTTCCCCTCGGCGCTACTCCCCAGTGGTCAAGGACCTGCTAGGGGAGGAAGACATTCCCTGAGAAACAAGGCAGATTGTGATCCACTGGGGTTCCAAGGGCCTGGGATTCAACATTGTGGGTGGCGAGGACAGCAAAGGCATCTTCATCTCCTTTATCCTGGCTCGGGGCCCTGCTGACCTCAGTGAGGAGCTGCGGAAGGGGAACCAGATCCTCTCGGTGAATGGTGTTGACCTCTGCAATGCCAGCCATGAGCAGGCTGCCATTGCCTTGAAGAACGCAGGGCAGACAGTCACCAGCATTGCTCAGTATAAGCCAGAAGAGTACAGCCACTTCGAAGCCAAGATCCACAACCTTCGGGAACAGCTTATGAATAACAGTCTAGGCTCAGGGACAGCCTCCCTGCGGAGCAACCCCAAAAGGGGTTTCAATATCAGGACCCTGTTCGATTAGGACAAGACCAAGGACTGCGGCTTCCTGAGCCAAGCCCTGAGCTTCCACTTTGGGGATGTGCTGCATGTGATTGATGCTAGTGACGAGGAGTGGTGGCAGGCGCGACGTGTCCACTCTGACAGTGAGACAGACGACATTGACTTTGTTCCCAGCAAACGGCGGGTTGAGCGACGGGAGTGGCCCTGGTTAAAGGCCAAGGACTGGGGCTCCAGCTCTGGAGCCCAGGGTCGAGAAGACTCGGTTCTGAGCTATGAGACGGTGACGCTGATCAAAG